AACCTGAGAAAGCGGCGATGTTCTGCCGCAATAGGCACATGAAAATATGCATCTTTCAGGTCTACAGACGTGAAACATTCTTCCCTCATGACAGCTTGAAGGACTTCTGCTGTCGTGAGCATGTAGAAGGGCAGCTCCCTTAGGTACTGGTTGAGTCCCCTCAGGTCTAAAATGGGACGAAACCCACCCGTCCTCTTTTGCACGAGGCAGTAAGTTGAGTAATAGCCCCTCGGTTGTTGCAGAGGGTCCACTGCCTCTATTGCGCCCTTGGCCAGGAGGGCGGAAAGTTCCTGGTCTAATGCTCGAGCTTTCACCGGGTCGGCGATTACAGTCATCTTGACCCGGCGTGAGATATGAGGCCGCCGTCGGAACTGTAGCTGGTAACCATGGGTCAGAGTGGCAACCACCCATGGGTCCACGGCGTGAGCAGCCCAGTAGCTGAGCTGCTGGTGGGAGAAATATCTGACGGTCGGCCTGATGGCATCAGCCAGAGTCCCTGGTCCGAGCCTGCCCAGCTGGTCAGTGGACCGATCCACGAAAGCTCCTGCTGGGCCTTTGCTGAACCGCATGAGTGTAAGGACCACCCGGCCGGTTATGACCCCCAGGCGGGTTAGGGCTTGCACCGCTAGCTCAGCTGGTAAGAGGACAATTGGGAGAGGGGGTGAGAACGCTCGCCTTCACCAATTAAAACAAGGCCAGAAACTCTGCTGGCTACATAATAAGCAAACTTCGGAGCACAGTCCAACCGACCCCGCGGTTTGAGGCCTCCAGTAAACAGGAGCACAGCGAACGCTACCGCTAACCAAATAGCAAAATATAAGCAAAAAACCACTACTTACCAGTGTTAAATCACACACATAGTAGTCATAAACAACGTCGGAGCACAGTCCAGCCGACCACGCGGTTGGAGGTCTCCCAACAAGCGGGAGCGGAGCGAACGCTACCGCTAACCAACGGCGAAATATAAGGAAAAACACTACTCACCGGTGTTGAATCACACACATAGTAGTCAGACGCTGTAAGTTGGGAGAGGCGGAAACCGCTGTAGTCCCCAACGAATCAGCAGAAAATACCTTTGAACAGGGTTAAACCGTCGCAGCCCTAGGAGGGCGAACACGCTACTCCCGCAGACGGGCAGTCGGGCTTCCGACGACGGTAAAAAGTTCAGAAAAGGTCCAAAGGGCTGAAGCCCTGAATTGAACCGCGCGCGAGAAGACAAAAGGAGCAGAGCTGCGGATGACGTCGGGCTATATAGCCTCTGATTGGTCATCCGTGTCACACCTGTGACTCCGTTGGTATT